GTGAAACGTCTTCAAGTAACTTAAAGAAGTCCAGACGCTTTTCTTTGCAAGCTCCTTTGACTACGATGACCTGGATGACTGAGAACCTTCACAGACATACGGTACCTTAAAGATTTTGCAGAATCGAAAATCATACAGGGACAACCTGACATAGCAAGTCTGTTGTTAAACATTCAAGGTCTAATCGCAAACACTCTGTGTACAAGTACCAACATATTTTGGGGCCCTGCTAGTGTGACTGTACTAAAAATGAGGGAATCTTTCAACACAGCGCTTTATAGCAGACCAGTAGTAGAATATGTGAATATCATTTGTTTTAAAACCTCTTAAACTCACCACTGAAATAGTTCTGGTATAACCACTGTTATTCAGAGAAATTCTGGATTTACTCTCACAATCCGCTTGAGCCAAACCACTATTTTTCAACCCCCCCCCCAAACTTTTAACTAAAGACAGGCAGGCATTTGGAGCGTCTGCAGAAAACACATGTAACAAAGCAGCTATGCAGATACATACATGAACAAACCTGGAAATAATCAAGTACATTTTTAAGCACCAACACAGCTACGGAGAAGATTAAGAGGTAAAGAGGATACAGTCAGCAACAGATAACATGAAGGGAGACAATTAATGAAAGCAACCATTATGAAAAAGAGAATCAACTCCATTTTGAATTTGACAGGTGGATTTTGAGCAGTGGAACAGCAAAGAGACTGTTTTTTGGCCAGTGCTAAATGGAGACAAGCTGAATATTCACAAGACATTTTTGTGCAATCTGCACTGTAGTTTCTTTTTTTCTGTTCTTTTTCCTTTTTTTTAAATTTTATTTGCAAAAAGCTCTTTGCATAGCCTGTTAATGTTCAGCAAAAACAGATCCCATATCTACATAATTGTTTCCAAAAGGTGCAAGATACACAAATATAGTTCCTCGTGTCATAGCTCCTTTGAGGGCTCTTTTGTGATAAAGCACTATAATAAAACTAATTTCAGCCATATTTCATTTAAACACAGAATTTGTATTTCTTCAGAAAACACATTCAAAAGTCTTTCTGAAATTATGATTTAATCCAAAATAACCAGTTTTACTGACTGATTTGGGTTGGGTTTTTTTTGTCTTTCTACTTAACATTGTTAAAACATGATTTTACACTTGAGTCCCAGAGGGGAGACTTCCCAGTTGAGTCCGGAGGTGATAAAGTTTAAGAGTGTGTGCGCTAAGCTGATTCAATTGCGCTTTTCAGGTTGCCTCAGTCTCTGGCGCAAGAGATATGGTCACAAGCCTCTGTGACAGTTAAACCGCAAAATGACCCGTAATACAAAAGCTACCCTTTTACCTGTCAGCTTACACCAGTGTCATTTAGGGCATATACAGTAGACTACCTTAAAAACGTATACGTTTTACACAATTGTATAATTGTTGTCTTTTTTTATAGATAAATAAATTTTTTGTCCAATAAAAAGATATGTTTTAGTATAAAATGAACATGTTATGCTGTTTCTGATGAATTTAACTGTCCAGAATGACAGAGCTTTACTGAAAGTTTCATCATGTTAACCAGCACTATCTGAACAGAAGCACGCACAAAAATCACATCCAGTGTATTGAAACTGGCTACAGTTAAACAAATCTGCTAGATCAAAGGAAAAAAACATGCAAATACCAAGCCAAGTAACAGCCAAAAACTGACATGAATATATCACAGGCATATCAACTATTTTGATTCCGCTCTATTTAATATACTCTTCTTCTTGAATAATCCTAGTTTCAGGTTTTTTTGAGACAGAATTTAGCAGCAGTCACAAGCAACAGGCAAAGAAGTTGTCGGGATCATAACATGTCAAATATTAATCACACCCTGGCTTCTGTATAGAGCCACTCTTCTCTTCTCACTTGGCAGGGGCGAACAGAGAAACAGACGATCTCGAAAAACTCGGCGCTATCTGTGCGGTCAGAGCAAAGCTGTCTTACCTGCCTGGACGTCCGTGTATTTTCTTGCTTCGGTCTGGGTGTATGAGTGCGTGTGCGCTCACAGACAACCCCTTGAACAGGAACTGATGAATCTGCACGACTTCAGCCCTGCAGCGTGCGGTGCATTATGGGGTTTCAGTCAGGCTCTCTCTCTGCTCTCGCTCGCTCTCTCTCTTCCTCTCTGGCACAGTGTTAGAGGGGGATGTCCTCGCCTCCTGTCTGAAGAGAGGAGGGTGAACTCACACACGCTGTGTCCATACACACACATGCAAACACACACACACACGATGCAGAAGAAGCCTCGTGATGACGATTGCCGCGGCTTTGGTTGCCATGGCAACAGCTTCCCTCCCACCCCCCTTTGCTGTTGTAGTTCAGACTGAATATTCTGATAAAATACTGATAAAGAAAGAAAATACTTCACATGCTGAAATCTCCCTGCATGCCTCGATTTCACATCTGCTTGGAGCCAGCTGACGCTGAAACGAGGAAAGACTCTTGTGGTCATGTGACCACTAACTGTTGCTTCTGCCTTCTTACGTTAAGAAAGAGCAGTATGTGGAAAGAGGAGAGAGACAGATAACGAGTGTCTGTCTCGCTGTGTGTGTGTCTGTGTTCTGAGCATGCGGGTTGATGTAATGGTTACTGGAAGCAGGCTTCCTCTTTGCGGTCTCTTTCCTTTTCTCCATTGCTACTGCCAGTCCACTGAGGCCTGCTGCCTTTGATAACACATTTCAGTCACATTATAAACAAGGGAAGTACAGCTGGATAGCCCAGTAAAATGACTGGGTGGCTACACATGTTCATGCAGGCATACAGACGGACATACAAAAAGACTAACGGTTCCCTCCACTATTCACTTTTCTGGAGGTTGGTTAGTTATTTACTGCACAGATTTATCAACAACTGTAGACTTATAGACAGAAAATGAACAGAATCAGAGGGCGAACAAAGGAGCAGTATAAAGAATGAGAAGTAGAGGGAATGAGACTGAGAAAGAAAAAGAGACGAGGTCTCCTCTCTACCGTTGCCCATGGAGACAGAGTGGGTGGAAGGTCGTGGCTGTCCTTCAGGCCCTATAAATCAGCATATCACAGCTGAGTCCTGCAGCGCAACCATCACGCTGGTAACCCCCAACGCTCAGTCTTTAAACGTCTAGCTTCGCTTTTCGTTTATTTTGCATCTTCCACCGCACTCTCTGCCCCTCAGTATCTCAGTCTTGGAGCAAACCATTCTGCGTCTAATCCATTTGACCCCAAATTAATCAACAGAAACACATATTTTTGCATGTTCCAAAAACTTAGTAGACAACACTTAGAACAAAAACATCCCCACTGTGTTCTCTGTCTTTTCGGTAGCCATGGGAACAGATAAGAACTGGGATCAGTGAGCATCGATTGCTGAAATTGTTTTGACAATAATTTAATCAGTGAGTTTGGCAGCAAAAGGCAGAAATCCAGGGTAAAGACGAGGTCAGAGGCAACAGGTCATAGTGAATTTAAGCATGCCAAGATAACTGATTGAATTTAGAGATTTTTAGTTTAATGATATAAACTTTATATTTATTAACTAACTTATAACCTTGTTTGAGCTGCATGATAATAAGACCTGTACTTGGATTTAGGCAACAAAACTTTACACTTATGAATGCAGATGAAACCCTCGAGGGGGAAAACATGAACTAAAAGCTCTGTACGTTAGTATACTAAGGATTTATGAGATGTAAATATTTATGGTCAAATCATTATTTAAGTCCTTTTGTGCCTGTGTCATTTAGTTTTAACAATTTAGTGTGACCTAGACCGAGCTACCAATGCTCGACCATGAGAGTGACTCCTGGAGTAATTAATCACATGTGACTAATGTTCCTCTTTATTAACTATGCGCTACATGGAGTAGGGAAATTATGACAAAACCTGAGGACAGGATACATGTACAATGGTATGCAGTTAAATTTGACAGTATAATGGATACCTAAATTACAACCAGCATTACATAGGATCTATACTTTGGTGTTAAATTTGTGGTGTAGAAATGTAATTACATGTAACTTCTATGTAGGCCATAATGATTGTGATTGGCCTGTTTAGTATCATCATTTTCTCTTATGCATTTCTGAATACTTTTTGATATACCTTTTGAATGGATCAGTGACAGAATAATAACCCCAGCCTCACTATAAGAACTCACAGATGGCACCAAATTCTCAAAACTAACAGAAAGGATGTGAGACAACATACAAATGAGTGAAAAAACACGAGGGATGCAAAAACGTTTGCTCTAAATCCACAAGAGAAAAATTCTCAGCATTTTATTGCCACTGCATATTCACTACAGAAGTTTAAATCAACAATTATAGTGTAAAGCTCTTATTCTACATACAACTATATACTCACGGGTTACCATGCTTCTCTGAGCTGCCAACTCAAACTCACCACCCTACTTTTTTCTTTAAGTATGCAGAGAACATGCCACTAAGTTTCAAGCTGCTCCTGCAGGCAATTCTCTGAGGGGCAGAAAACTAAATTAAATACACTGGGCTTTTCCATGGGTTTTCCATTTTTGCCTCTAGAAGAAGCATGTATCAGTACAAGGACTATTGCTAAACACTCAGGTGGTCTGTGTAATGAAGGGTCCTTGAAATTGAGGGACACTGAATCACCTGCTCAGATATGAAAGCCAGGATGATTAGTCTGCTCTCTGGGACTAATGGTAGTAGCAGGTGTCCACAGACTCTGGGTGCCACATCTATTCATTAGAGACATTAACACTAACCCCACACACACACAGAGCAGGAGTGAGTGAGAGAGAGGCAGAGAACTCACTGCTCATTGGAACGATTCATTAACAACACTTTAGCTCCCCTTAAGCGCAATAGCCATTGATTAGGTTTATGCATAATGAAGGTGGTGAAACTGTTTAATTATTGCAGCTCTTAGATTTTTGTCCACTTTGGTTTAGATTTGTATAGCACATCTGCACTGTAAACATCGTGCACCTGTCTACACTATACTTTGGGAGTATTCCTGTATACATTAGAGAGACTAATGTGTACAGGAACTACAACTTCATCAATTGCTCCTGATCTGTGCAAGCAATTTTTCTCCGTGCAGCATTGTTGCAAGGTGGGGAGGTGGGACTCTGTGGCAAGTAACCTACTGCTATAGATAATTCACAAATATAATACACCCACAGACTTTATATAAATCATGAATGTAGCCACCGTGATGTCCCCCAAAGGCTTAACATTGGTGGTTTGGCTACAAGTTAGTTTGAGTTACTCCTTTTAAGCCAGAAGCCACCTCCTTTGGATAAAATGTCGAAGTTATTAGCTAACGCCAGTGAGATTGGTTAGCAAGGTGTTTCCAGAAAACCAATGGCACAGACACACATATTTGCTAATTAGTACTAAGTAAAAGCCTATTAAAAAAATGTCACTCACCCACACTGAAGGACGTTGAAGCGCTAACTTTCTGGATGGGTTGCACCACATTATTTGTCACATGATTCCATTAAACATGGTAGGTAGGGCCAGTTCAGTGATTGGCTAGCTGAGCAGCCCTAGCCAGGAACTAACTGGCTTCAGCTGCCTGGGTTGGGACATCTGTCAATCAAATTGATGAAATCCCTAAATTCAGTTTAGAGATGGATGAGTAATTAAATATCTATAATAATAATTAAATATTATTTAATACTGTAAAGTTGGGCAGTTTAACATGGAAGTCTGTGGAGATTTATGATCTAATGGAGGCCACTGGAGTATCTGCAGTTTTTGACATTTCCTCGTTGGCTACATTTTTCATTTCGACATTTTATATTTCCTTGGAGATTACTAGGTACCCTGGGGACAACAACTTGTGCAACTAATGCAAAAAACAAAACAAAACTGGTATTAACATAAAGTTATCACCAGTGTGTTAACTTTGCACAATTTGGTTTGCACATTTGCCTAACTTGTGAAGTCCATTTGGGCTTGTATCAGGATGGGTATCTAATATAAAAATCTTCCAAATTAAATATGTGGCATTATTTGCTGGATAGAAAAAGTGTCACGGTTCTGGGTCAGGTTCGACCAAGCATTTTGAGTTCTTATGTTTTGGTTTATTTTTGAATGATTGTTTTGTTTCTCTGATGCTATGATGATTATTATTATTAGAGTTCCATGTTTCTGTTTATCCGTGTTTAAGGATTTGTTGTTTCACGTATTGTTTGAGTTGCATGTGTTATATTCTGTCTGCCTCTCTGTCTGCATCTTTGTTTAGTGGTTTCTTGTTTCCTGTTTTATTGTGAAGGTCTGTGTCTCATGTGAGTGTGTTCAGTTCTACTGCCCCCCTGTCTCGTTAGTCCAATTTCTCCCAGCTGTGTCTCCCTCCTGTTGCCCATTCCCTGATTACCACCCTGTGTATATTAGCCCTGTGTTTTCTTGTGCTCAGTGTCGCATTGTACCAGATTATCAGATTATGCCTGTGTGTTTCTGTTCTCAGTATTCAGTGTTCACTTCATGTTTTGTCTTCATGCCAGCAATAAAGCTGAAGTTTTGAGTTGTATTCAGTGTCCGAGTCTCGCATTTGGATCCTCCTCTCCATCCGCCTGCACACAGAGCCCTGACAAAAAGGTTTTGCTCATGGAAGTTAGAAAGTAACGTTAGCTTGCATAGTTGAGTGCCAGTCTGCTACCAGACAAAATAAACAAGTCTGGTTATATATCTGTACTGTGCAAACAATTTGAAAGCAAAAGGCTGCTCACAGAGCAGAAACGTACCTCTCATAATAAATGCGGAAAGAGTTGTAGTTGGTATTACAATAAACAAATATATTTTAAAAAGCTCCAGGGAACAAAAAAATGAGACCTAGAGTCAAAAAATTCCCTTTTCCGTTCCAGTTACTGAGAGCATTTTTTGTTCTTATTTTTGTGTTATGACACACCTCACAGTGTGATCACTTTATTCTATTCAATGATGCTCTGATATGTCATTTCATATCAATGATATGACACATCAGTGTGTCACCTTGGCCCCAGCTAGCTGTGACTACCTGTGGAGTAGGTCATCTACCAATTAGAAAATTGGTGGATCCGTCACCGGCTCCTCCAGTCCACATGTCGAAATATTCTTGGGCAAAATAGCGAAACGAGAGTTGCCCCCTGTTCATCCATCAGACTGTGAGGGTATGCTTAGGTGCAGATAAAAGTG